TGCTTCCTCTTCTATGCTCTGAAATAGCTTGAGTAGTACTGGTACAAGCAGGAGATGGCAGGTTTTGACCCTCAGGGACAAAACTAATTTAAAAAATCTACATGAACAAGCCCCATGAGTCATGTGATTGAAGAGCTGCAAAACCATCCGAATAAACAGTCACAGTCCATTTGTACAAAACATACTATAAACTCATTGCCGTGGAGTTGATTCTGACTCACAACAACCCTATAGGACAGAGTAGAATTGCCCTGTAGGGTTTCCAAAGCTGTAAATCTTTATGGAAGCAGACTGCCACATCTTTTTCCCATGGAGTAGCTGGTGGGTTTCAACCACTGACCTTTCAGTTTGCAGCCAAGTGTTTAACCACTACATTACCAGGGCTCCTTAAAACATAATACAGAGGGTACAAAACACAATATAGATAAACTCAGTAGATGTGCTAAGGTAATGGCTTGGGAATCTTCCAAATTCAATCAACATGAACAGAGTACATTTTCTCAGAACCAGAATATTAAAGAACATTTTAACCTGATTAAATGTGTTGTATAGTAACTGGGAAACAAAATAAAGATGTGTTAAGTAAAAGGGCAGCGGCCTGCCTATAATTTAAACCACAGAGCCTGAGTTTGTGTTTATTCAGTACTGCCCAAGGGAGAGAGATGGGGGAGGGGAGGCTGTGTATGTGCTTAGAGGAGATGGCAGGGTGTGAGAATACCTGGAACAATATATGGTAGACATGAGTATCCCTGTTCCTGGAGATATGAACTCTTTAACAGAGCAAGGATTATGCTTTAGATTTCTTCTTAGAGGATGGTTCTTAACCTTTTCTGGTTCAGGATGCCCCAGAGAATCTAATGAGGACTTATCAATATTTACACACACACACACACACACACACACACACACACACAGAGTATTGGATACCATAATCAAGTTGGAACCTCCCAGAATGCATCTTCTGTTGTGCCATCTTTCCTGAATAGAACTAGTCCATTTCTTATTCTTGCCAGGGATAGCTGCTGTTTTATGGTATTTAGTCCACAGCTAAAGAAGACTGAAACAAGGCAGACCCAGATGAAAAACCGGGAACACAACTGACCCAGGTTAAATACCTCTGGAAACAAAATAGTACTGAGTGTGATCTAAATCTGATCATCAAATGTATTAGTTATCTATTGCTGTGTAATACATTACTCACAAAAGTTAATGTCTCAAAACCACAAACATTTATTATCTCCCAGTTTCCCTGGGTTAGGAATTCAGGAGTGGCTTAGCTGAGTGGTTCTGCCTCAGCGTGGTTTATGAGGTTTTCGCCAAGATGTCTGCCAGTCTTGGAGGATCTGCTTCCAAGATGGTTCTCTGGTTCTCTCATATGACTGTCGGCAGGAGGCCTCAGGTCCTCACCACATGGGCCTCTCCATAGGGCTGCTTGAGTGTCCCCATGACATGGCATTTGGCTTTCCTAGACGGAGTGATCCAAGAAAGGGCAAGGCAGAAGCCACAATATCTTTAATGACCTAGCCATGGAAATCACACACCATCACTTCCAACCCATTTTACTTATTTTAGGGGAGTCATTAAGTCCAATCTACACTCAATGGAAGGGGAATTAGGCTCCAGCTTTTGAAGAGAGTATAATTTGTGGACATATTTTAAAACCAACACACCAAGAAACCTTCTAATTACTAAGTCAGTTTCTACGTAGTCTGATAGCAGGAAAAGATATTAAGAACATCCCAATCTTGGAAAGCTATGTCTCCTGGCAGGGTTTATGTGGGGGGCTAGTGTGCTTTTGACTAATGTGCGTCAGTCTTCCAGACCCTGATCAACTGTAGATAAACAAACTGACATACTTAAGATCTAGGCCTTCAAAACTGAGGACCAAGGAGTATTGCTAACCTCAGAGTCCCTATCCACTCCTGGCCGCCAGCTCCCTCCCTCCCTCTCAGTGCTAAACACATCCATTCTTATCAAATACCCAAGGTCAGGTCAAAGGGTCTGGAAAAGGGTCTCCTACACCGTTCAAACGGTGGAAAATGAGACTTATCTTTTCTGCAACAGAATCCCCCTGACCAGGGATTGCCAGACCCTGAGCTAACTCTCTCTGCTCAGAGCCTCCAAACACTCTCCTTTCTCACAATTTCCAAAGCCCATTCTTTCGTTACTCATCATTTACCTCAGGAGCTGGCACAGCGGCCAGCATATAGCTGTGTCAATTACTGTTGCTGAATTACCTGTACCTCTCTCCGGACACTTATTTTCTACCTTGTATTATAGCCCTGAATCAACTTTCCTAAAAGTGTGCGAGTCTGGTGGTACTATTCGTGTATATAAGGAGCCGTGGTGGTGCAGCGGTTAAAGCGATGGACTGTTAACCAAAAGGTCATTGGCTCAAAACCAGCAGTGGCTCCGCGGGAGAAAGATGTGGCCGTCTGCTTCCGTAGAGATTTACAGCCTCGGAAACCCTACGCGGTCTCTATGAGGCGGAATCGACTGGACCGCAGTGGGTTTATTCATGTATATAGTCTCCCCAGGCATTAGGACAAAGCTCGGCAGGAAGGAGGACTTCAGCGAATATTCACTGAACGCACGAAAGGAGGGATAATTGGCACCCAACGAGCATTCCTTGATTGACTGGGGCTCAGAGAACTTGAACACCAATAGAAAAAAGTCTGCTTCTCACCCTCTTCATGTAATTAAGGTTTGGTTCTCACCACACAGCCCACCACCTCCCTCTCCTAAAGTCACCGAGCGTTGAAGCAGCTGGGACTTCAGCCTGAAACGCACGTTCCAGGAAGTCCGCAGGTACGCAGAGATAGCACAGGTTGAGTGCCCAGTGAGGCTGGTACACTCTGACTTACTAAGTCTCTGTCTACGAAAGCAGCTGGACCTTGTGCCTTTTCGCTCCAACCGCGCCCTCTCGACGCTTGGGACAAACGCTCTCCGCGCCCTCCCCGGTCGGACTCCCTCCCTGGCTTCGCTGCTCAGCGCCCTCCCCCGCTCAGCTACCGCGCGCTCGGAGTCGGCACCTGGGACGCCGGCGAGAAGGACTACAACTCCCGAGACGCCTCGGGCCCC